CAGTTGCAGATTCTCAGGCCTGCTCCAGAAATGCAGGGCTGGGTCTCCAGGTGAAGGAAGCCTACTCAGGTCCCAGAATAAGTAGGAGGGAGGGGGGAGGACATTCCCAGCCTGGTGTGCAGAGGTGTGGGGAAGTTGGAGGAGGGTTTCATATAAGAAGACAGGAGACATGCAGTTGGGGAGGGCAGGTGGACAAAGAGGAAAAGGGCTTTGGGTTTGGTTCTGGAGTGACAGAGCTGCTGCTGATCCCCACTGGCTGCCTGCAGGGCCGAAGTTTGGCCAGGCTGCCACGCATGCACTCCACACTGAGCTGCATCCCTAGCCCTGCTGCTGACTCTGATTGGGATGTGACACTTAGAGCCCACACTGCACACAGCCTGTTATCTAGGCAGTTTCAGAGCACTGGACGCAGTAAGTACAGAGTAATTGACAGAAAAGGAGCTGAAACAAGAGAGGGCCATCAGAGAGTACCTTAAGAGCAGGGTCCCAAGGGTCCCTGAAGTCAGGACCTGGGTCCTAAATGGGCTGCAAGGGGAGAGCTGCATCCAGGCATATTATTCTCTCTATGAAGCCTGGGCTTTCTTCCCCTAGTCCCCTCTGCTTGCTGAGCTCGCAACCATCGGCCCACTCTGGACCCACCCTGCTCCCTGTTGACCCTGTTTGGATGTGTCCCATCTTCTACCATATGATGTCATGATTTGGGTTCCTAAGTTTTCCCCCACCAGCTTGAACTCCAGGAGGACAGAGATAATAGCCCATACAGCCATGCAGTGGCCTCCAACAGAAGTCTGAAAGAAGGGACTCAGGGTGCATTCAGTTAACTTATACCAAATCACATTGAATGGAGGAGGGCAATCACTGACTCCCTTGATGTACGCAACGTATTACTGCGTGTAAAATGGGCAATTTTGGGCTGGGTATATAGTTCAGCAGCATGAGCGCCTGTCTGGCAAGCACAAGGTCCTGAGTTTAATCCCTGGTAACACACACACACACACACACACACACACACACACACGAGCCACTTTGGCTGGGGATATAGCTGAGTGGTAGAACACTTGTCTAACAAACACATGTCCCTGGAGGTCAATCTCCAGCACCTCAAAAAAAAAAAAAAAAAGCAAATAAGTAAATAGTAACGAGTCATGTAAGTGTGTGTGCACACCGAGGGTGTCATGGGCAAATCTAGGTTACCCCAATGCATGCTGTTAATTCTTCCCCATCTTCTCTGGCTTGCACTCCACTAAACAGCTGCCACCATCCAGCCTCCCGGCACTAAGGCTGTGACTCATGGTGGCTGATGGAAAGTTCTAGAAAGAGGAGATCCAGATAAGAGTCTAAGGCATTTCTTTTTCCCTGCTGTGGAGCCCCAACATGCCAGTTGGTTTCCTTATCCTGTACACACCTTGGTAAATAGCCGCTTTCTATAATCACTGGAACTGTGAGGTGGAGTTGGAGATGCTGGGGGTTTGCTCTCCTGTGAGGTTCAGGAGAAGAGAGAGCTCCCGCCCAATTTTTTATCTGCCCGGAAGAGGAATTATCCAGGGCCTAACATGTGATTGATGGTTGAGACAAAGGCAGATAAATACAGACAGAGCCTAACATGTGGTAGATGTGTTTGAGACAGAAAGATAGATAAATACAGACAGCGGGATGATAGATTTTGCTAACACCAGGGAATCAGGAAAAGAAGGGTCAGGAAGGAGGCTTCTTGATGGGGGGGGGAGGTTGTTTACAAGTTACTGCAGGGTAGGGCATTGGAAGCTCTTTGGGGAAGGCCAGGGTGAAGAGTAGGGTAGGGGAGCCTCACACCCCAAAGCATCTACTGTACACCCACACCCACACACACACACACACACAGTGCCTCTGTCCTCGGTGAGCAGAGGGTAAGTGGGGGGAGTGTCCATGGGGGATCTCCCTCCTCCAGGATCCTGTAAGAAGCCTGACAAAGTGGAGGGGTGTACTAGGCCCTTCCCCAAGTGGCAGCCTTTGTGTCTCCCCCACCCACGATCTGGGGCTGGGGTCACTTCAGCCACCTCCTCTCTGCCTCCCGCTCCCTGTGCTCCCCCGCCCGGCTAGGGTTGGCTTAGTTCAGGCGGCTGTGGGTTTCCAGCCGCTGCTTGCTTTGGTGCTCTGGCTTCCGCTGCCACCCTAGAGATCTGGTCTTTGATTTCCACATCCTCAGCGTCCCCAGAGGCCCTCAGCCTCAGTACAGTAGCATCCTGTGCACCGTCACCCCTGGGAGAGGCTGAGAAGGCCTGTGGTCTCCCGAGGCTGGCTCTTGGTTTCTCTTTCTCCCCTCCCCCTCCCTCCCTCTCGCTTCCTTTGCTTGTTTCTCTGCTTATACATTTTTGAATCTGCGCTTCCCCCGCGCCTGGCTTCAGCTCCCAACTCCCTGTGGGCGCCTCTCTTCCTGCTCCGTGTAGGCTCTCCCTGTCTCTCCCTGCTCTGAGTGCCCCTGCCCCTTCTCCCTCCTTGTCCTCCGCTCTCCAGCTGCTGCCGCGGGGGTCCAGTTCCCCCACCCAGCACACTGCACCCCTGCTTCTGGCGGCGCAGGCTGCGCTCTGACCCAACCGGACGGCTGGGCTCTGGAGCCGGGAGATGGCCGCAGGGTGGGAGGGACGCAGCAGACAAAGGAGCCGAAGGAGTTCCCGAGAAACAGTCGGAGGCCTCCAGGGAGAAGTGGAGGAAACCAGGGAGAGACACAGCGTGGCTCTTGAAAGCAGCCGCCGCCCTTCACGCAATCTACCATCCCGTGCGCGGCGCTGGCTGGACCAAAACGGAAGCGGGGCGGCAAAGCAACGAAAAATGCCAGAGGCGAGGTGCACACACAGAGAAAGGATGCGACCGAAACGGCGACGACACACACACCACACACCTCCCAAGGCTCTTGAGGTTCCCGCAGCCCTCACCTTGGCCCCGGGGATGGGATGAGGCTGGGGAGAGGAAGAGGGCACAGCCGCACCACAGCGACAGTCTGTGGTCCCAGGCACTTTCATGTTCACCCCGCGGCCCACTCAAGCCTCAGCGTCGGGAGGCACCCCCCGACACATGCATTCTGTCGACTGTTGCCGGGCTTCATGTCAACTTCCTAGAGACCCCAACCCTCGAGGGGACTCTTGTGGTTTGGTGGCTGCAACCTCCACCATCCTCTTCTTTGCCTCAGACACCCACACAGCAGGCACTGTGCCCCCACAAAGAGAGGCAATGATGGAGCTCAACCTTCCAGCCTTGTGTGTCTCCCCCTACCCAATGCCCTGGTGTCTGGTGTCCCATTTTCTTCCAAGTTACTTATTCAACACACGCTTAGTCCAAAATGTGGAGACCCAAGGCCCCCAACTCCTGTAAGTGCCACCTTCCCATTATGGACAAGGGCAGGGCCTGAGGCTACTTCAAGGTTCTACCTAACACCAAGTGGTGTGGGAGGATATTTATTTAAAGCTAGGCCTTTTCTGTGTAAGTGTCCCCAGCCTGAAAGAGGGAGGCCACCTCCTGAGACTCAGGGCAGCCATTTTGTATTAGCCCACAGAATCTGACACAGCACAGAAATTATTTCTCAAAATACGAGACAATGGTGATCTCCCCCACCACATTCTTCTCCCAGCTTTGCACTTCTAAAAAGGTGCCCTACAAGACAGCAGGATGTTCACAAAGACTATCCTACATAGAGTGGGATCTTTCACAAGCAGTCTTTCTGTTTTAGGGATCAGAGTACCTTAGGAGACATCTCCTTCAGAATAATTCTGTGAGGTAAAGGAGCGAGGGGAGTGGGGAGAATGGCTTCAAAGCCACAAGGTCTCTGGAGCAGGGAAAGGTAGACAATGTGGAACCCAGAAGCTAGAGTCCTAGGGGAACTGTACTTGAGGATTATGAGGTCCCCTGTCCTCACAGCACCTCACCAACCCCGGGGTGGTGGTGGGGGGTCCTGTAATACTTTTCCACCTCTCCTACTCTCCAGATACACCTAAAACCCATTCTCCTAGAACCATGACATTGCTAATGTCATGCTTACCTAAAATACATGCATATAGCATACAGTATTTCCTAAGAGATCAGTTTCAATACTTTTTGAGAATTTTAACTTTCTATTTCCTTAATCAAGCTAATGAAAACTGAAGTGTCACTAGGCATATTTTTAAAATATACATAAATTCGGGGCCAGGACGATAATTTGGTGGTCTAACCGCTTGCCTGGCAAGCTTAAAGACCTGGGTTCAATCCCTAGTACTGCATGTTGTGCCAGGTCTGTGCTGAGCGGGCCACCGAGACTGGGCACAGTGGCACACGCTGTCGTCCCAGTGCTGGAGAAGCTGACACAGGAGGATCACTATGAGTTTGAGCTGCGTAGAGAGACCCTGTACCAAATAAATAGATAATTTTTTTAAAAAAATTACTAAAAACAAAAAAAAAAATTACATAATTCCAAAGAGTTAAGAGCAGCTACACAGATTGTGTCACTTAAGAAATGCTACAGGTGTGATTAGAGGTGTGACTTTTTAGTGATTGTGTCATTGCAGAAATTAATTTTAGGGAAACTGTCTCTCAACTAGATTCTACTTCTTATTCTGCTTTTCTTACTTATACCATTTTTCTCCTCTTCACTCTTTTATAGCTCTCCCACCATAGCACGTATTCCTTCTCATTTCCCCTCCCCCTTCTTAGCTCTTTTTCTGTTCTTTCTCTCTTTTGGGCCGCACCTTGTCCCCTGTGCCGTAACTAGCTGCCTTCCACCACCTTGCTCTGCTGGACCTTTTTTGATCTTGTGAGGCTCTGAGCCTGGAGGGATGCAGAGAGGAACATGGGATAGGCCTGGCCTCTTGAAGCTCACAGTTGCAGTGGCAGATGGCTGCTTAGGACCAGTTCTGAGAGAAACACAAGAGAAGGTGGCCAGGGCTGTGAGAAGAGGCCTAAGAGTCTGGCGTGTTCCCGTGCATGGACTGCCATGTTTGTGTCCTTTCCAGTTCTCTGGAAAGGAAAGCAGCTGAAACTGCCCCTCTTACCTTCAAGCCTGTCTTTCTTCCTCTTGTTCCTTGAACAGCTGGGAGGGCGTGGGGCTCTGCAACCAGAAGCCCTGTGGGGAGAGGGCTTGGTTACTGCTGCTTCTTCTTAAATGAAGAGAGACAGGAAGCAGTGTAGCAAGGCTTCTCCACACTCCAGGCCTGGGCCAGCCCCTAACGTCACCACCTGGGCCTGGGGTCACCCCTCCCACACCCCAGCTCTTGGAGAAAATGTCAAAGTGAAAATGCCAAAGTCATGGGAAAAAGTTAAGCAGAATCTGGCTGGAGTCCGGAACCTCATGCCTCTTTCGGACGGTAAAAGAAAGACTTCTTGACACAGCCAGACCCTATGGAGCTTCAGAGAAAGAATCAAGAGGCAGATAGGGGCTGGGAGAGCAGCTGAGGTCCAGGGCTGGGGGCATTGGTCCAGCAGACACTTCAAAGCTACAGGTACTAGTGATGTTCTAGGTGACCCATTCTGGGGAGGTCCCCAGTGGCCATGGGCCATGTTGTCTCCCCTTCCCACATGCTTTTCTCCAGCAGAGCCTCTAATGAGCTCCACATGTGTATTTTTATCCGCCCACTGGACATCGCCACCTGGATGGTCACCAGACCCAAGCCAACTTACGTGTGCTTCTCCAAGTCCCCACTTAGCGAAGGCGTTGTTAGCCACCAACTTGTTCCAGCAAAGTAAGTAGAGTGTAATCTTCGGCTAGCTCTTCATCCAATCCCTCTCATGTATTTACCACCTTTTGTAAATGTTAACTTCCAAATGGCTCCAAAATCCACCCAGGTCCCTCTGCACCAATACACCCATTCCAACCCACAATGCCAGTGTTATCCTTTGCCTGTATTCTATCTCCTGCCTCCTGCTGGTCCTGGTTTCTCTGTGCAGCCTTTCTCGAGGACAACTTCTACACACAGGGGAACAACCATCAAAAGGTACATATGTTTAATTCCTGGTAAAAAGAAGAAGAAGGAGGAGGAGAAGGAGGGGGAGGGAGGGAGAAAAGGGGAGGAAGGAAGGGAGGGGGGAGGGGGAAGAGAAGGGTACGCATGTAACCAGACAGGGTGGCACACACCAGTGATCCCAGCACTCTGGGAAGCTGAGGCAGGAGGATCAAATTTAAGCCCACTATAGGTAACTTAGTGATTTAGTGAGACCCTGTCTCAAAATAATAAAAATTTAAATAGGGTTTTGGGTGTAGCTCAGTGGGAAGGCCCTGAGTTTAATCCCCAATACAAAAGAAAGAAAGAAAGACCCGTTTTTCCACTTTGAAAAAGAGTAATGAGTCTAGTTGCAACAGCAATGATTAACGCAAGCACTTTTGCTCATCACAGCCATTGTGCCCCATTAGAGCAGACACATTTTGGGCTACTTCTTCCATAACACATTGTACTCAAGGGTAGTGATTGAATGAATTACCATTTACTGCTTCATTAAAAGCATTCTTCAGGGAGCTGAGTCCGCCTGTGGGGTGAGAAACGCCAGGTCTCGCGAAGGGGGTTGTGTCGCTGGCGCCATGTCGTACTGCTGGCAGGAAGGGAAAGACCAGATAATATTTGTGACCAAAGAAGACCACGAGACACCTAGCAGTGCAGAGCTGGTGGCCGATGACCCCAACGACCCATATGAGGAACATGGGTTGATACTGCCAAATGGAGAAATTAACTGGAACTGCCCGTGCCTGGGGGGCATGGCCAGCGGCCCCTGTGGGGAACAGTTTAAGTCAGCCTTTTCCTGCTTCCACTATAGCACAGAGGACATCAAGGGATCGGACTGTGTAGACCAGTTTCGGGCCATGCAGGAATGCATGCAGAAATACCCAGACCTATATCCCCAAGAGGATGAAGAAGAGGAGGCAGAAGAGAAGCCATCAGAACATGCAGAGGAAATGGCTCCCACTGGAGCCACTGCCACCAAAGAAGAGTCAGCGTCCATTTAATGCAGGTCACTGTGCTGCCTT